TTAAAAATTGCCAAAATCGACTCAAAAACGTTGCAAATAGATAGGTCTAAATTAGCCTAGTAATTAAAGATATAAAACACAATTTTCAGACAATATTCGGCAGAGATATAGTTAATTTTTATTGAATTTGGACTTAACCACTATACCTCGGTTTCACAATTTATAAAAATTTTCGCTAATTTGCGTGTTTTTGTTTCAGATTTTGGCTGGATAGTCAGTTTTGGAGCTGTACGTACCTAACTGAAGCAAAAACGGGATAAAAATCTAAAATTTTGAACTACTCGAAAAAAATAAATAATTTAATAAACGTCTATGTAAAAATTAAAAGATTAAAAATTGCCAAAATCAATTTAAAAAACGTTGCAAATAGATAGGTCTAAATGAGCCTAGTAATTTAAGATACAAAACACAATTTTCAGACAATATTCGGCAGAGATATAGATAATTTTTATTGAATTTGGACTTAACCACTATACCTCGGTTTCACAATTTATAAAAATTTTCGCTAATTCGCATGTTTTTGTTTCAGATTTCGGCTGAGGAGTCAGTTGTGGAGCTGTACGGACCTAACTGAAGCAAAAACGGGATAAAAATCTAAAATTTTGAACTACTCGAATAAAATAAATAATTTAATAAACGTCTATGTAAAAATTAATAGTTTAAAAATTGCCAAAATCGACTCAAAACCGCTGCAAATAGATAGGTCTAAATGAGCCTAGTAATTTAAGATACAAAACACAATTTTCAGACAATATTCGGCAGAGATATAGATAATTTTTATTGAATTTGGACTTAACCACTATACCTCGGTTTCACAATTTATAAAAATTTTCGCTAATTCGCATGTTTTTGTTTCAGATTTCGGCTGAGGAGTCAGTTGTGGAGCTGTACGGACCTAACAAAAGCAAAAACGGGATGAAAATCTAAAAGTTTGAACTACTCGAAAAAAATAATTTAAATAACGACTATGTAAAAATTAAAAGTTGAAAAATTGCCAAAATCGACTCAAAAACGTTGCAAATAGATAGGTCTAAATTAGCCTAGTAATTAAAGATATAAAACACAATTTTCAGACAATATTCGGCAGAGATATAGTTAATTTTTATTGAATTTGGACTTAACCACTATACCTCGGTTTCACAATTTATAAAAATTTTCGCTAATTTGCGTGTTTTTGTTTCAGATTTTGGCTGGATAGTCAGTTTTGGAGCTGTACGTACCTAACTGAAGCAAAAACGGGATAAAAATCTAAAATTTTGAACTACTCGAAAAAAATAAATAATTTAATAAACGTCTATGTAAAAATTAAAAGATTAAAAATTGCCAAAATCAATTTAAAAAACGTTGCAAATAGATAGGTCTAAATGAGCCTAGTAATTTAAGATACAAAACACAATTTTCAGACAATATTCGGCAGAGATATAGATAATTTTTATTGAATTTGGACTTAACCACTATACCTCGGTTTCACAATTTATAAAAATTTTCGCTAATTCGCATGTTTTTGTTTCAGATTTCGGCTGAGGAGTCAGTTGTGGAGCTGTACGGACCTAACTGAAGCAAAAACGGGATAAAAATCTAAAATTTTGAACTACTCGAATAAAATAAATAATTTAATAAACGTCTATGTAAAAATTAAAAGATTAAAAATTGCCAAAATCGACTCAAAAACGTTGCAAATAGATAGGTCTAAATGAGCCTAGTAATTTAAGATACAAAACACAATTTTCAGACAATATTCGGCAGAGATATAGATAATTTTTATTGAATTTGGACTTAACCACTACACCTCGGTTTCACAATTTATAAAAATTTTCGCTAATTCGCATGTTTTTGTTTCAGATTTCGACTGAGGAGTCAGTTGTGGAGCTGTACGGACCTAACTGAAGCAAAAACGGGATAAAAATCTAAAATTTTGAACTGCTCGAATAAAATAAATAATTTAATAAACGTCTATGTAAAAATTAATAGTTTAAAAATTGCCAAAATCGATTAAAAAACGTTGCAAATAGATAGGTCTAAATGAGCCTAGTAATTTAAGATATAAAACACAATTTTTAGACAATATTCGGCAGAGATATAGTTAATTTTTATTGAATTTGGACTTAACCACTATACCTCGGTTTCACAATTCATAAAAATTTTCGCTAATTCGCGTGTTTTTGTTTCAGATTTCGGCTGGGGAGTCAGTTGTGGAGCTGTACGGACCTAACTAAAGCAAAAATGGGATGAAAATCTAAAAGTTTGAACTACTCGAAAAAAATAATTTAATAAACGACTATGTAAAAATTAAAAGATTAAAAATTGCCAAAATCGACTCAAAAACGTTGCAAATAGATAGGTCTAAATTAGCCTTTTTTTTTTTTTGCGGATGGAAAATCATCAAATGACGCCTTTCGCTCTGGGTGGAGCGGAAGGGAGTGTCAGACTTTTACTGACTAAAAACCATCCGTGTTCCTTTAGTGCCCTTACGTTCCGGAGCCGCGGTATCTCTTTCGAACAGCCCGCAGCCCCGGCAGGCGTCGGCCCTTGCGGGCCCCTTCACGCTGCTGACAGCTCTTTGAGGCGCGCGTGGAACAAAACGCGCCGTCGACACGGCCTGTCTTCGTTAGACGGACGGACGGCGAGCTACCCATTGCTCGCCGTCCACAGGCCCGCGCCTACGGTGGCCGGGGGCCACGACGTAGCCCCCGACGCCCGGGGCGTCTCCCGCGGCGGCCGGGAAGGAAAGCTGCTGCTCTCTCCTTCTCCCTCTCCGCCACCTCCTTCGCTAGCATCACTGCTTCGCAGAAGGTGGTGACGGCATCCCATTCCGTCTCGCTCCGGACCATGGCTTCGACCAGGGCCGGACGCGAGAGGTCGCCGCCGCCTATCGCCGCTACGAGGACACGGCGGTCCTCCGCCCAGGCAGGGCACACCTCCACGGTGTGCTCCACCGTGTCCTCCGGTCGATCCTCGCAGTGGGAGCACCCGGGCGTTTCCTCCCGCCCGATTCGGTGCAGGAACCTCCCGAACACACCGTGTCCGGTGAGGACCTGCGTCAGGCGGAAGGTGAGGACGCCGTGGCGTCTCTCAAGCCACTCCTCAAAGAGGGGTCTTATCGCCGCTATAGTGGCGTGCCCATCACGGGGTTGCGACAGTCGCTCTCTCCATGTCGCCATGAGATCATCCTGGAAGTCTGTCCGCTGCACGACAACTTGCCGCGGCAGCGGGGTTTCCCCCCGGCATAGTCCCTCCGCGCGCCATTCGTGCAGGCGCGCGAGGACTATCGCCTCCAGATCCCACGGCGGCAATCCGGCAAGGAGGCACGCTGCCTCGCGGGAGATCGTGCGGTAGCCGCGAACCATTCTCACGGCAACCACCTTTTGGGGCGCGTTCAGGTGGTGGACGGCAAGCCGCGCCAAACCACGCGCCCACACCGGGGCCCCGTAGAGGGCCATGGACCGCACAATCCCCGCGTAGAGCCTCCGGCAGGAGGCGTTTGGCCCCCCCAGGTTCGGCAGGAGCCGCCTGAAGGCAGCCCCGGTCCGTTCCAGTTTGGGAGCCAAACGTCGGAAGTGCTCAACGAAGTTGCATCGGCCGTCGAGGACGAGTCCTAGGTACTTCAACGTCGACTCGACGCCGATGGATAAGGTCTAAATTAGCCTAGTAATTAAAGATATAAAACACAATTTTCAGACAATATTCGACACTATACCTCGGTTTCACAATTTATAAAAATTTTCGCTAATTCGCATGATTTTGTTTCAGATTTCGGCTGAGGAGTCAGTTGTGGAGCTGTACGGACCTAACTGAAGCAAAAACGGGATGAAAATATAAAATTTTGAACTACTCGAAAAAAAAATTTAATAAACGTTTATGTAAAAATTAAAAGTTTAAAAATTGCCAAAAGCGACTCAAAAACGTTGCAAATAGATAGGTCTAAATTAGCCTAGTAATTTAAGATATAAAAATATTCGGCAGAGATATAGTTAATTTTTATTGAATTTGGACTTAACCACTATACCTCGGTTTCACAATTTATAAAAATTTTCGCTAATTCGCGTGTTTTTGTTTCAGATTTCGGCTGGGGAGTCAGTTTTGGAGCTGTACGTACCTAACTGAAGCAAAAACGGGATAAAAATCTAAAATTTTGAACTACTCGAAAAAAATAAATAATTTAATAAACGTCTATGTAAAAATTAAAAGATTAAAAATTGCCAAAATCAATTTAAAAAACGTTGCAAATAGATAGGTCTAAATGAGCCTAGTAATTTAAGATACAAAACACAATTTTCAGACAATATTCGGCAGAGATATAGATAATTTTTATTGAATTTGGACTTAACCACTATACCTCTGTTATGTACATAAGACCTGGCAAACACTCACCTGGGTAATTTCTGAGCTGCCCAACGTTTACCGGCCCGATGTGATGTATCTTCTGGCCGAATGTGTCCACTATTGTTCTTTTATCCACAGGTCAGGTATGGAAAGCTGCCTTAGTATTCGATGGAGCAGGGAAATGAGATCTTATCTATTGCTGGTGACGGAACGCGCGCGTACAAGGTACCGTCAAAAGCGTTAATGCTTGCGTTGACGAGGAAGTTTGCCGTTACTAGTGGTCGTTGCGGGTGTAGTTGAAAAAAGGGTTGCTCGCTTCAAAGTTAAAGAGTGCTTGCCAGTAAGAAAAAATATTTATTCGAAATGTTATACGTAAGACGAGATGTTTTCCTTTCAAATTGTACTATTTCTAGTTATAAAATTATACCGAACCATTAATGAAAAGAAAATAAAGACATCAAATACGGAACATGCCGCTCACCTTAAAAGTACGCAGTATCTTTTAACTAAATCTAAACAAATCTGTAATACAAACTAGCCCTTGATAAAAAAAAATGTAAGGAGTATAAATAAAGTTAAACCTAGTAAATATCAAACTATATCTTAAATTACGGATAAATATTTAAGTTATTTCTAAAGAAAGTAAAATAAGGAATATGAATCATTATTTACGTTTATTATTCTATAGGAAGTGGACAAATTTTATTAACTGGTCGCTTCAAATATGTTTTCCCAATTTGGAGAGTTACAACACGCGTAATCCCATCAGAACCTGGATGCAGATGGTGTACACGCGCAAGTCGCCATTGTAAAGGTGGAAGGTTATCATCGCATACTACCACAATCATGCCTTCACGGACCGGATTTCCACGATTGGTGAACCATTTGCCACGTTGTTGAATTTCATGCAAATACTCTAAGCTCCACTTTTTCCAGAAATGTTGAACCGATTGTTGTATCAAACGCCACCTGAATAATCTACCCGGATTTTCATCCACAAATAAAACGTCGGGGATAGCTGTTAACGGTTCACCTATCAGAAAGTGAGACGGAGTTAGAGGGAGGGGATCCTGCGCATCGGAGCTCAATATGCATAGCGGACGCGAGTTTAGCACTGCCTCTATTTGACATAATAGGGTATGCATCTCATCATAGTGTGACGCCTCATAATTATTATTAATAAATAATAATTAAATTCATTATACAGACATTTAAAAATGTCATAGAAATTATAATTTAAACAATAAAATGCAAATAATAAGCATAGAGTTCAAAAATATCCATTTGGAATATTGAATATTATATATATTAGTAAACGCATAAAATGTCTCAAAAAATCTCTAAATTTATTAAAAACCTGCTTAAAATGTTCAAAATATATCAAATCATATAAATACAAGGCAATTATATTGCAATAACAAAGATAAATAACATTTGTAATATAATAGAAAAAATGGATTAAAATTTTCTAAGTTGATGAAGGTGTTCGTGTAATAATTGGAAAATTTCTAAGTTAATGAACGTGTTCTTGTAATGTTCCCTTATATTGGGGCGTTGTCGGAGACACATACCCAAGGTTGTACATATATATGGGGTGGTCGGCTGACCGACTGCTAGTACTAAGGTTGCACAATAACTAGTCCTATATTAGGGACTTAACATAGTAAGGTCTGACGAACCAAAGCATTAATATAGAAGGTCTCTATGATGCATAAGCATTATGATAGCAGAGTAATGACTTGAAGTCTCATATGAATAAGACATACAATAGTATGGTCTATGAAATAAAGCAAATATGTGGAAGGTCTCAAATATGTAAAAGCATTATATTGAAAGAAATGGGACTTGAAAAGGATTATTATAGTGGCGTGTAGGTTGCTTCGCAGCCTCTGAGACCGAGGTAAACTTGGACTCACTAACCGATGTGTCCTAGACATATCATCTTAGTGCCTTTGGTAAGCGGGTTTGTTGTAGCAATACGACTTGCCCGTGGACGCACGCGCATCGCACACCCCTACCGTTTATGGGCGGCGTCTTAGCGCATAGCGTTATGATACGTCGGCTATCTTTCGGATTAGGGTGAGTGTGTTTGGTAGTACTTTTAAGTGCAGCAAGCGTACTCAACTTCATGTCTTAGTGCAATAGCGCTATGATACGTGGAGTTTTGGCTACTTACGTCTTAGTACCGTACTACTATGATACGTTGGTGGTATTTTTAGTTAACAACATTATCAAATTTTGTTACCAAAGTCGATAGGGATCATGTGGGTGTGTTGTGAGGGGGCGCCATCCGTATGATAGTTGCATTGATGCTTACTGCTACTTGCAGTATTGTGTCTTGTGATGGATCTGCGGGTGTGCTGCACCTGATTCGATGCATCTTGTGGTTCTGGTCGATGGAGGTATGCGGGTGGTGATGTCTGCTGGGACTGTATGGGGGACCTTGGGATGGTGTAAGCCCGACGATAGTCGTATTGATGCTTGTTGCATTCTGTAGCATTGTGTCTCTACGATGGTTGTTTGGCGGGTCGCTATTCTCAATGGCGCTCTCTGCGTCTTGGTTTGACTCACAACCTAAGTAGCTTTGCCCAAGTCGGGTCCCTTCATTGCGGGGCTGCAGACTGTCTGCCCTCCATGATGTTTTATATAACAACTTAATAATATATCTCTATAAAGTTCCCACCTTTGAGAGATTGAAGGCAACTTGTTGGTGGGTGAGACAAACATGATCGAAAAATGCATATACTCAACGTCAGTGACACAAACCCTTTCTGATGGCGAATTATTACTATTACCTTATAACTGCCTATTGGCTATATCTGCCATTGTATTGGTTGGTGGAGCATATGTGTCGACCTCATGCGGGTGGTAGCTGGAGGGAGAATCTGAGGAGGCTCTCAAGGCTGCGGCCGAAAGCCGCGCAACGTGGGACCCCATTCCCTTGAGGTGAGCGGTAGACTCATGACACGCTCTGCGGCCAATTGGCCGTGCTGACCATGCAATTGGTGGTGATGCCTTACACTTACATCACGTCTGCAGGAACGGCGGTCTAGCAGGTGGTGGCGCTCACGGAAGGCTTTTTATGGTCAGTGTGCCGATTGTTGCCTAACCCGTGTGACGTACATTTCACTGTGGCTGGATTTGATCGTATTCTGTATGGCGTTTACACGCATTGACATGCGCGACTTCGGTCGATGTTTGTGCTTACGCACTGTCAAGGGGCCAAGTCCTCTTTTACTGGTTCGCCAGTTATTTTGCTGTGGACTAGGGTCCAGTTCCCAACTTTGCGTACCCTTCGGGGGTAGCGCATTAAAATGGTTGGCGCTCACCGTGCGCGGCGTGTGTGGGGCCGTGTACCTCCTCCACATTTTTTTTAAAATGTGGGAGAGCGAAGCCCTTGTAGCTGGTATTTGATATAAATATTGTGAGCCTTTTCCAAGCGGGAAGGGATTAATTAATAAGGAATTGACTGTTGTGAACCAGATACAAGTGGAATAGGGACAATTTATTGTTCTTAACCTTTTTGAGCTCTGTCTTCGTGAACGGGGTTCTCTAGCTTATAAGACTCTACCAACAGCTTTCGATTGCTCTCGTGAATATTCATTCTTCCAAGATACACCTAAAAGAACTAAGTTACTATACAAACACAACGTAAAAAAGGGTCCTAACTAAGACGATCACGCCATAAATTTATTAAACGGCCTATATTTAAACCTTTAGAAAGATCAAGTTATACTGGTCACGTAAATTAGATATATTTATATATCTTACAGATATAGATTCTAAAGAAATACAAGTATAAGTGGATATATAGTAGAAGAGAAAAAAAGATGGGGGGGGGGTTCGTTACAATTTGGTGCCGTGACCAGGATGGAGGTTAAATTTTAAATAGGAGGCCGGTAATATAAAATTATGAGGTAGGCTATATGCCTACAATTTGTTGTCAGTGAAATGGAGAGGTGTCTTGGAGAGTGGTGTTTGCTGGGGGTGGTTGAGAGTCTGGGGGTGGGGCTTAAATATTAAAATTGAGTAATAATATAGGAGGTGTGTGCATAACGGAGCGAAATAATAAAAAGTGAAATAAGTGTAAAGACTCAATTAAACTAAGCGAAGGACACAACAGGTATAAAAAAAAAAAAAAAAAAAAAAAAAAAAAAAAAAAAAAAAAAAAAAACTGCAATACTATATATTATAAAGTGAAATAAGTGGAAAAACTCAATTAAAGTAAGTGAAGGACACAAAAAGTGTAAAAAAAAAAAAAAAAAAAACAAGTGGTAATAAAAATTAAAAATGGCTAAAAATAAGAACAAATCAACCTCAATTAAGGCTAAGCCTAAAGATGAGATGAAAATGCTTCAGAAATTAATTAAGAATGCAGTGAAAACCTTGGAGGTTAAAATAAAGGATCTTGAGGAAAAATTTATTAACCAAACGAAAGATTACCAAATTAAAATAAATCAAGGAGAGGTGTCCGGGGCGAGCACCTCTCATGTAAATGATCCTAGACAAAATATTGTATATAATGTACATAATGTAACAATAGAAAAGCCGAAATTCGGAAATGGAAATACTCATCCAGTATCATTTTTGGAAGATCTCACCAATTATTTAAAGAAAGTTCCATCTAATGGTCTCGAAATTTCGATTGCACAAGAGTGCTTAGTAGGTGAAGCCTTAGTAGAAGTATTGGGCTCGCATTAATAATGTGCGTTGGACAACTTTTGATGATTTTAAAGCTGACTTCCTAAGAGTGTTTTGGGGTGAAGAAGAACAAAATAAAGTAAAGAGATTCCTTGTGCAAAATAAATGGAATAGAAGTACACACCCCACCATGGTTAGTTATTTTCTTTATGTGGTTGAGAAGGCACAAACATTATCATATCCGATACCTGAAAAACAATTAGTAACTGATGTCATCAGACATTATCCTAAAACTGTGCAGCAATTATGGAGAATAGCTAAAATTGAGACAATAATAGACACGACAGATTTCTTAAAAAACTTAGATGACATCGACAAACAAGATGAAGGTCGTGAACCTTACTATAATGAGAAAAGAAGGAAGTTTAATAATAATACGGAGCAAAAACATAAAGAAATAGAACAATCATACAAAACATGGCGTAAACCCGAAGAGGGAAAAAAGAAGGTTAATGAAGTACATGAAATACATTTCACTAATGACCAACCTGATGTTACGGCCCCTGAGCCAAATTTAGAGCTGTAGAGGTCGAACTAGTTCCCGATTCGACCCCTTACAATGTAAAAGGGAACAAAGCATTAAACATGTTATTAAAACTGGGTTGGCGACCTGGTCAAACATTGGGTAAAATTAATAGAGGGTTGCGAAAACCTATTACTTTAAAAGCAAATTTTAACAGAGAAGGCCTTGGTTATAACGACAATGTAAATAGCATATTAAACACCTTAAAAGCCAGGTCGGACTTGCCCATAACGGAGTTATTCGTGCAAACCGTCTTCGAGGAAGACGAAGATAAATATCAAAGGGAATTTATAGGGAATATGAGATCTGAAATTAAAGTTTCAATATTTGATAAAGAAATAGACGCGCTCCTCGACACTGGGAGCGATGTTACATGCATTTCAGAAAGTTTATATTTACAAATTAAAGATAATAATCGTAAAATATCAATAATGCCAGTTAAAGCAATGCAAATAAAAGGTGCTGTTGGGCAGCGCAGCACAAAAATACAACAGATGATCATATTGCCTATAAAGATAGATGAAGTAGTCTTTGAAACACAAACTTTAATTGTAGGTAATTTAATAAAACCTTTAATATTAGGCTTTGACTGGCTCAAGAGAAATAAAATATTGATTGATTTGAGAAATACTACTGTTGGAATAGAATTTAAAGTGAAAAACAAAAACTACTTTATACCTTTCAAATATAATAATAAATCTGTATTACATAATAACTGCATCAAACAATGTACCGATGATCCCTTAATAAATATAAAAATAGGATCTACATTGGAGGTCTCTGAAAGGGCAAAACTTAGTAAGGTTTTGGAAAAGCATAAGAATATGTTTTCGAGCAAATTGGGAAGAGCCAATTGCTATGAGC